AAAACTAACTTAACTCCTACTTTGTTCAACAAAGCACCAGAAATTACATTTCTACGAAGAGATGGAATATACAGCACATTGTGAAGAGCCAAGGTCTTCCCTGAAGTCAGCTTCAGAACCACTTTGCCCTTTCCAAGTACCTCAGAGCTACTTGAATTTCCCATGTAGACTTGTTCACCTTCCTTTGCTTCTTCCATACTGACAAACAGGCCCTTGTTAGCACAGAAGTGTTTAGATGCACCAGTGTCAACGATCCATTCACTGTTGTTCTCAACCAGGTTGACTTCAGAAACAATTGCAGCGATGAAATCTTCATCCTCATCCTCAACCAGATGAGCCTGACCCTTGATTCCTCCACTTGATTTCAGATTTTTCTTTTTCTTGTTTTTGCATTGTGAAGCAAAGTGCCCCACTTCACCACATGACCAACACTTGATAGTGACTTTCTTCCCAATTTTGCCCTTAGCTTGGAGATTTCCCTTCTTCTCAGAGCTCCCCTTCTTGGCACGATTATCACCTGCTTTCTTGTCAGAGTCAGCACCAGATTCAACAAGGTTAGCCTTGATTGCTAACACATTCTTTGGCTTAGAGGAAACATCCTTAAGCCTGTTGGCTTCCTCAATCTTCATGTGGCTCACAAGTTCTTCTAGGGTTAAATCCCTCTTTTTATGCTTGAGGTGATTTCTATAATCAGACCAGGAATCAGGTAATTTTTCAATCAAAACATTAGCCTGAAGGATTTCACACATCTTCATACCCTGAGTAAGAATTTCAGCAACATAATTTTCATACACATGGACTTGGTCCATAATAGGCTTTGTATCAACCAATTTGAAATTCAACCAATTTCCAGTCACATACTTCTTTTTCTCAGCATCATCAGCACCATATTTCTTCTCTAAAGACTCCCACATCTCCTTAGCAGATTTCATATTAACATACAAATCAAATATGTTGTTTTTCATGCTGTTCAAAAGATGACCTCTAACAAATTTATTATCACGATCAAATTTCTTGATTTCAGATTCGTTAACAATGACAGTAGTGGTCCTTTGACTAGAGCTAGATTCTTTATTCCCATGAACAGGAGTACTAGGAATTTCAATCATGGAATTGGTTTGCTCAATAGGTTTTGGGGCATCCCTAAACAAAACATAATCAATTTCTACTTGTTCAAAAGCAATCAACATCCTTTGTGACCATCTCTTATAATTAATTCCATCAAGACACTCAACCTTAGACATATCTAGGTATAGACGAGTTTGAGAATTGCTAGTCATGATATCAACAGAATAAATAAAAATATTTTGCTTCTAAATTGTTGGTAAAATAACTGTTGAAATCAATAACAAACAAAAGATTAGAACTTTCCTAGATTGAAGATCCCAAACTCACAGTCGCGCCGTGGAACAAAATCCACTGCCTTAGAAGCAAAATACGCCACCACCGGTACAGATTTCCTAGTGACGCACGCCCCCCAAGTTTAACGCAACTCTCTCCGTAATCCGTGCACCCGAACTCGAAGAGTGAAATTTGCTCAAGAACTGTTCAGATCTCAAATGGTAGGTTTGTTTTTTCGGCTAGAAAATGAATAATTCTCATGAAAAGGCAAGGCTCGTATTTATATGAGTCCCGGAAAAAGGAAACACGTAAAGCAAACCGACCTAGGGAAAAAAGTGGGCCCGATCGGGCTCGTCAAAAACTCGAGTCCGCCGCTCGGTCAGGCGAGGGCCGCCCGATCGGGCGCGAGAGTTCTCTTAGCTTATTTTCCTTGGCCACCTCCGCCCGATCGGGCGAGGGCCGCCCAATTGGGCGCGAGCATCCGTTTGCATTACCTATTTCCAACAGTTGTGCCCCTCAAATGATGTTGTGAAGCTGAACATGGATGCACGTGTGGGTTCGAGTGCTAATGGGGGTTTAAGGATGGTTGTTAGAGACTATGAGGGCAACATTCTTTGGGCTGCTGTCAAAAAGTTTCCTGCCAATTAGGATGTGGAAGTAGCCGAGGCTGCTGCAGTACAGTATGGTTGTCAAGTAGCTAAGCGCTTTGGCCTTATGCATGTGTGGGTATGATGTGATGCTGAAGGTGTGGTGAACAAGGTTAAACAGGCAAACAATGGTCTTTCTCCTATTTTGCTGATCTATTATGAAATAGATCGTCTTGCCAAGTCTTTTCATGTTTATAATATTTCTCATGTACGTAGAGCAGGAAATACGGTTGCCCATCTTGTAGCTCGATGGGATACCCGTAGTAGTGACGAACTTGTATGTTGTGGTAATTTTCCGGAAAGCATTTTGGCTAACTAGGCGTGAAATAAAATTCCTGCTAACGTTCTCCCTATATATATTAGGTATAAATTGTTTACTTAAAAAATTTTGCAAAAAAAAAAACTAAAAAATAAAAAATAGAAAAGTTAGGAAATGTTTTCACAAAGTAATAACAAGTGTCATGGAAGGATTTGCTTTTAGTATAAGTTAATAGATGCTTTAACTTTGTAAAGGGTCGTTTTGTTAGATCATTGGAAATGGATTTGTATGGAGCTAGAATCCATCCCATCTATTGTTTTATTTGGGGGAGTGTTTTAACTACAAAATCTCGTACCCAAGTGGTCAATGGATTTTAATTCTACCTCATTTGAACAATAAAACCAGACAACTTTAGACTAATACTAAGATAAGAAGACTTGGAAAACAGGTCAATTCAGGTCGGTTCAAGTTAGGGTAAGCAAATGTTCGGGTCGAGTCGGGTTGATTCGGGTTTCGGGTCATAATCGGGTCAGCACTTCGGGTCGGGTCAAGTTCGGGTCAGGTAAAGTTCGGGTCGTGTCAATTCGGTTCAAGTCTGTTCGGGTCGAGTCAAATTTTAAGATCAATTTTCGGGTCAATTTCGGGTAGGGTCAAATTCAGATCGAGTCAATTCGGGTCGGGTCTATTCGGGTCATGTTTGTGTCGGGTCACCAAAATAAATTCACTTAAAAAAGTAGTTGGAAAAATAAAGTAAAACAGTTAAAAAAAATAAAAAAATCATGAGTACCTATTCACTTAGGATTCAGGTCAATTCGGGTTGGGTCACTACGGGTCGGGTCGATTCGGGTCAATCAAATTGGGTTAAAATCAGGTCGGATCACTTCGGGTTTCGGGTCATTTTGGGTCGGGTCAAGTTCGGGTTTCAAGTCAGGTCATTCGAGTCGGGTCACTTCGGGTCATGTTCGGGTCAACTCTATTTCGGGTCGAGTCGGATTAGTTCGGGTTCGGGTCATTTTCGGGTCAATGATTTCGGGTCAACTTTCGGGTTACGAGTCGGGTCAATCAGGTCGGGTGAGGATTGCCAGGTCTAATATAAGATTTAAAATTCATACCTCTTTAGTATGAAACTCCATAGTCTATACCATCCATCTAATCTATTAATTATTACTAAAACAGAAATCTGCTGACATTATCCTCTCTCTCGAATGTATGTGTCACTTTCTCATGAAAATTTTTCCCGCCAAATGCCTTATGATGTCACTTTTTCTTAGGAATTGGTGATTTTTTATTTTTTATTTTTGGAAAAATTGCCCAGAATAATCCCACCTTTGCCTCATCCGCCCAAAATAATCCCACCTTTTGATTATTTTTTAATAATCCGACCTTTGATATCAATCCGCTAAAAATGGTCCTAACCGGTCATGCTACTTGTTATAGCAAGTTATATGCCACGTGTCGTACTGTGATTGGTCAAAAACAAAAAAGTTAAATATTTTTATGAATTTTTTTTTTTAAAAAAAAATCTAAAATCCGGCCACCGGCCCAAACCACCTTCCTGCCGGCTAACTTCCATGCCCTGTGAATCCGGCCACTCTGACCCACTCTCCAGCGCTGGCGTGGTCGCCGCGACCAAGACCATCCCCCTCCCCCGAACCATCAACCCCCTCCTCCCCCCACGAAAAACACTAAAAACACCCTCCACCCTCGAAAACCCCTTCTCCGACCCGATTCCGACCCCTCTCCCCTTTATCCATCTCCATCCCAAGCTCCCTCCCCTTCCCCCGCCTCGAATTCCCCCTTCCTCACCTTCCCGTGCTCCGATTTCGGTCACCCTTTTCAAAGCAACCACCCTCATCAATAGCGACGACATTTGCGGTGGCTGGGGCTGCAATTCATCGGTGGTGGCTGGGGCTTCAGCGGTGTATGGGGATAGAAATTGGCGGTGGTCGGGGCTGCAATTCAGCGGCGGTGGCTCGGCCTTCAAATCGACGGGGTTAGGGGAGGGGGTGGTTGGGGGCTGCCATTTTTTTTGTTTTTTAAAAATAATTTTTTTTAATTAAAAAATTCAGACAAATCATGTGGTGACACGTATGCTTTAAACAAAAAATAAATAAAATTTACCTATTTAACAAGTTACCGGTCACTTGGGACCGTTTTTAGCAGATAGACATTAAAGGTCGGATTATTAAAAAATAATCGAAAGGTGGGATTATTTTGGGCGGATGAAGCAAAGGTGGGATATTCTGTGCAATTTTTCCTTTATTTTTAATCATTTTCATTTCAATCTTTTGACTGTGTCAATAAATAAATAAATAAATTTTATTTTTGGTTGGAATAAATAAATTGATATCTAGGAACTAGCTTTCATTTTTATATTTTGTTACTCATGTAATCTATAATGATAGCTACATCTATTTTATGATCTAATTTATAAATATATACGAGAAAATAAATAATAGAAACAAGCTATTTTATTTCAATAATTTTTGTAATCCGTAAATCACACAAGTCTAATCTAGTAATGAACTAAACAGCTTCTAAAATTGAGCTTCTAACATTGTTGATGGACATTGATTATGATTGCATGAAAGTTCTAGACTTGTACTTTTGTTGGCCAAAACCGATCTGGGTGTGTATTAAAGAATTATATTAGGCTCTAGATGTTGAACTTGTATAATATAAGATGATTTTACATTGATGCCTTAATGGCTAGTGATTTATAATTCTGTATGAGTCGGTTTGGAGCTAAAATGTATAGAATCAAATAGCTATAGTGCTATACTAGGAGAGATAAGGCAACAAATCGGAACAAAATTTGCATCTCATGCCACTGTCAAATATACAACCGCAGTAGACTATACATGTTCATCAGCACCAATTAGTAAGCAAAAATAATTAACAAATGACATTGCTTCTCTCAACCTAATCATCATGCATCTGCCGCTGTTTGAAAGTCAGTAATCTGATATCAAGAAGCTCCTGACAACGAGTCATCTGTTCCACTCCACACTTTGTAGGTATTTCACCCCCGATAAAATGAATATGTATATATGCACAGTAATGAGTGATCTGTTAAGGTGGTTAGCAAAGAATGTCGCTGGCATAGGTTGGCTTTATCCTTTTCCCAACGAAGTAAAAAAGGTCAGGTATTTTGGGGGGGATCTGTGCCTTCCGATAACAAATTTTGGTTGAGCACTAGAGATTTCTCATCCTCCAAGAGATTTCTGTCTATATCCATACTTCATCCTCTCAAAAAGTTTCTCCTTAATTTTCCGTTTCTTATCCATTTTTATCCTGTATCTTTGCTCCCTTTCTCTTTCATATATACCTTGCCAATGCACCTCCCCTGTCAGTGGCCACAACCAGGCTTCGCGTTGCACGTCACCATCATCCGCAGCTTCTGCAAGGTCTTCGTCCATGATTTTCAATAGTGTAAAATTGAAGTATTTGACCCACATGAATCCCTTCCGTTGGTCTACTGGGTGCTGCTCTTCAAGCAGACCTGTATGTGGATCGACATATACCATCCTCCGTGCACTATGATAAGCCCAGACATTGACTAGAAGCTCCAAAATCCGGCAGTAACACTGCTTTTTCTGCGAGAGGAAATAAGCAATTTATAAAAAAACAAGTGTTATCTTTTCAGTTATACATAGGTCATAGGGATGGACGCATCATTTTAGCAAAAAAAAAACCTACCTCAACTTCTGAAACTCCCAGTGGACATTGAGTTATTTTACTACTGTCACTATGTATGGCATCAAGAGAATCAACAAACATCCTGTGAGAAGGTGCGATTTACAACACAGTCATTTTTTCTATATCAAGGGTGACATCTTCAAGAGTTCTAAGTAAAATTTGAAACATCAACCAAGAGTCAACGGAAAAGGTGAGTCCTTTCTTTACAGTTACCTGGTAAACATCATAAATTCCAGAAACGAAGGAGTTGGCATGACCCAGCTGTGCAAGGCAGACCAGTGGTCAGAATCCTCAGGCATTGGGGGAAGGGCATCAACATTTGAAGGCAAGCCATACATATGCCGAAAAGCATTTTCAAATGCTGTTCTGAGAGAATGAAGAAGTATTCTTGTTTAGCAAAAAATTGTCAAGTTATAAACAATATTGTGTTGGAAATAATTAATGTTTTAAACTATATGATGAAAATAAATGATTTGGAACTAGCAAATTGTATTATCATACTCACTCAGTGAGAAGCTCTATTAACATAATCAATTGACTCTATCAATTTGCACAGGCACAATATAAGATGTGGAGATGAGAAGCCCCTAAAGAGCAAAAAGAGAACACAACACAATAAAGAAGAGGATTTCTTTTTTTTTTTTCAGGATGCCCACCTGGTTCACCTCCTAAAAAGAAGAGGATTTCACTTGAAAGAAGAAATGTTCAAGAAAACAATATTGGTGACATCTAGTACAGAGGATTAACATTACCAACTAGCAAATAAAGTGGTAATTTAGGAAGTACAGTTCCCCAAAACTTAAGAAAGACAAGTAATTATATTTCGAGTTAATATAAAAGTTGGGTACAAAAGTATGGTAAATGTTGCAGTTTGGGTACTGAACTTTGGGATGTTGCAAATTGGGTACTAAAGTTTGGATTGCCTTATTGTTTACCTATGAAAACCGGTTACCAGCAATTACCAAATTTAAAGGCAAAATAAAATATCTGCATATTTTTGGGAGAAAACAACAATTGGTCAAATAAAACACTTGTACATGGTTTATCAACACCATCTCTTCTCCAAACCTCTTCGTCGCCGGAATCTCGTCGGAGATCACCTGGTATGACAAAGGAGCTGACGGGAAAAATGCAAATTTTGCAACGAGCGATGATCTCATTTCCCCCAATTTTTCTTCTCTCTCTTCAGAATTTCTCTGAAACTTCTCTTCTCCGAAAAATGAAAATTCGAGCTAATATAAGGCCTAGGTTACCCAGATAAAATTCCATCACAAATCGATAGCCCAACAACAAACAATTGAGCTGAAAATTGAAGACCCAAAAAATAAAAATTCAAACCCAAATTAAAATCAATAACCCAGAAAAATTAAAGTTTGTATATGTATAAAGATGACCTTTTAGAGTCTGTTAAAGGACAGAAGTCATCATCATCTTTTGAGAGGAGAGAGAAAGAGATGGTGTTTGTGAATTCTGATGACGGTGCGGCGGCAATGGGTGTGAAGTAAGATAAGGTGAGAAGGTGTTTATTTATTTTTTTTAATCCAAATGAAGAGGTACATCCAGAAAACAAAGGAAAAAACAAACAAATGTGTGATTTTAATTGAAATTAAACATAAGAAACGAAGATTGGGTAAAATTTAGAAACAAAGCAGTTAAGATTATTGATGGATTACATGGTTGCAAAAAGAAGGGTTTTTGTAAATTGTTAAATTTATGGGACTCCTCTTTTTACTCAATCATAGTGTAAAATAATTCAGTTTTTTTTTATTTATATGATATGAGGAATATTAAGGTTTTAATTTTATTTTATTTCATTAAGAAGAACAAGGAAAGTATTTTAGCTTTTTGTTTTAAAAAAAAAAATGGTAATCTGGTAGTGCAGGTAATAAGCCGGAAAAATATGCCGGAAAAAGCCAACTCAGGAAGGTCATAGTACCCAAATTGCTAAGGTTGAAAGTTCGGTACCCAATATGCAATAAAGCTCAAACTTAAGTACCCAACTTTTATATAAACTCCTTATATTTCATGTCTTATCATCAGTTCTTGACTTTTTATATTTGATGCATTAGGAAGCAAAACCGAATGATTTACTCCCTTTGTCCCCAATTAATTGTCTCAATTCAACCAAATATCTTACCCCTAAATAGAATACTCATTTCATCTTAATATATTAGTTAATTCACTTTTAATCAATCAAACCCCACTATCTTGTTTTTTATATTTACCTTTAATCATCCAAACCCGCTTTCTCAGTTTTTTTTTTCACCTTTTAAAAAATGCGTGCAAAAGGCAAATGTGAATTTTATTTTAGGACAGGGAGTGATGTATTTGCAGATAACAACTTCGAACCAAAATCATTTATTTATATTACATGTGCTAAGAAACAAGTCCTTTCATTGAAAAAGGAGAGATTGGTGGTGGTACTGGCAACAACTAACCTAATTTGATATTCTCTAACGAATTTCAAGCATTGTCCCATGAAACAAGGTCCTTATTTTTGCACCAACTTCTTTACCCTGTGTATCTAAATTATGCTGTTGGGGTTAATGTTTTTATTTATTTATTTAAACAACAGATAGGTGTAAAGTTAGTTGAAGATGATTGATATAATGCACACCAAAAAGAGCTAGACATTCATTTTGTAAAAGCCTACTTATGAAGAAAGTAGAATATCCTTGAAATCCCAGTCAAATCAGCCATCAAGAATATTGTGAATATATGGAGTACTACAAGACATCCCATATATATATATATATATATATATATATATATATATATATATATATATATATATATATAAACAATCAGATCCATTACCTGCAGTATCCTCCATTTAAGACATCACATACTGACCAAAAGGTAGTCAAGCTATTGCTTTCTGAAAGATCCATGTCCAATCTTGTCCAGAAGTATATAGCTTCTCCTTTGGTTTGATGCTGTATTGTATCTTCAAGAACCTTTTCAGCTTTTAATGACAGTGAAACCTGTTTTGCCACCAGAAGATCAAACCTACAGTCTGATCTCAAATAGGAATATAAAAATGAGCAGCACGGCCTAGCATACCAGTGTTACAGCCAATTTCATATGGATTTATTAAGGCTTGCATTCTTGTAAAAACCTAATCGAAGTTGCAAGATTAAGACCCAGGAAAAAAAATTCGTGCAAAGTTTACCTCTCTACCCGAAGCTTTCCATGACTGAAACCCAACCCACGGTCTCTTGTGAATATCATCCACTTTATGTGCAATAGAAAACATACCCCCCAATTCACAGAGAAGATCCCGATAGTGGGGGTCGTTTAAGATGGGAAGCCTATAAGCTGCATCCACATCATCTGAGCTTAACCTCCGTGTTCTTCTAGACTGCAAGTTGGAAAACAGAAAAAGATGAGTAAAACAGTGTTTTGAGGAAAGATGAGTACAACAAGCGAACCCACAACTTAAATATCATTATTAGCATGGCTAACAGTTGGGCTTTACAGTTTCATTCAACACACAATAATACAAATTAAAGCTAGAATGTCATCAGTTGACTAAATCAACATGTAAAATTTTCAAAAAAATAAAAAAATAAATAAAAAGTAAAAAATAAACAAACAAATGATCTTCACAGTAAATGGTAGATTATAGAACTTACAAGACTTAAACCACGATACAGGGAACCATGATGCAAAAGTGGCCAAGCCCCAGCACCGTTATAAACTTCATAAATGCACATTAGACGACCTGTTCTTTGTAGCTCTCCATCATCCCTTTCATTTGCTTCAAACCTGAGTTTCTCAGATTTACGAGCATTTCGGTATATCTCATCCCAAATACCAGGGTAATTCTCCATTCTTTCGTCAATCTGCACCAGAAAATTATGACACTCATAAGTTCCTGTGGCAAGTCCATAGGACAAAGTAAAGAAGAAATGGAGGGGGGGGGGGGGGAAAAAGTAATGCCTGATCCATTTCTCGCCTCTCGTACTCTTCAAAGCTTGCAATTTGTTCAACACCATCCAAATCTTCATTGCTCACAAGATCCCTTTCTATGACATCACTGTTCTCCACCGATATATTTTTCAAGTTCGCAAAACTATTAAAATCTTCCTCAAGCTTTTGAACAATGCTAGACCCTTCTACTATATTGCCTTCCTCGTCATTACTTATCATGTTGCCAACTGTCTGCTCCATCACTTCACTAAAGGAATTCCATTCCCATGAATCCTGTCGAATCTGAGATATCGGAGAAGGAAGCAATGAATCTGAAGGAAAATGAAGCACATCCTCCATAAGCTTTGCATAGCCGATTATGGATTCAAAAGCTAGTAAATTCCTAGCAAGAAGCTTCCCGGAAGAGGCAACTGCACCAGCAAATTCAGAGAGTTTCCCTTCACTTGATATTAAATGCGAGAAGATTCTCAGCAAATCATCTGGTTTGTGTTTAGAGAAAATCATTCCATGGACACCATCAACAACCTGCATTTTCCAAAATGATTTTATGACAGACAAACTCAAAAGTTAGTTACTCCATATTCATAATAAACTTATTTGGATGTAAATAAAAACTCACGTATTTGCTTATGACTGGAAGATCAGGTACAACTACAGGAATCCCAAAAGACATTGATCTAATTAGTAACGATGGGAAGGCTTCTTCTTCTTGTGATGATCCATATAGAACTATGTCAGCCATCAATAAAGCTCCATTCACATCATGGTCCAGGCTATAGTGCCTCAAGGAACCTGGACTAAGTTGTAGGTGAGCAGCAACACCCTAAATCAAATGAAAGAAACAGCATTGCAATATTAGAATGCAAGAAAGAATACAATAAATGACAAAAGAAGATGATTGCTACTAAAAAGTCATATTATTAGGTTCAGCGAGCAGCAAGTATGTGACCTTATTAGTTATTATGACTGACATTATAAACATAAACAAGTACCAGGGAGTTAAAAGATAGCTACTTCCTTTATTACATATTCTTGACAAAAGGATTAGTTTGATCAATAATTTGATTCTTCAATAGTAATGTAACATTATAGATAAAGGAAACCCTATACTAGACAAGTAACCAAGAAAAACACATGCTTAATGGTCAAGGCTTCAAAACAACGGACTAGGAAAAAGGCTATATAACTCGATGTAAATGATATTTTCAAATAATTTTTCTAGGCCAGATGTTTTCCTAAAGGAGTCTTTTGACTAAATTTGGATTATTGTGGGAAATGACATCTATGAGGCTATATTCAAGTATCTTGGTATGTTTTACTTTCTGTATTAACTGATATTCAGTCAAACAAAGTCTTAAAAATGGCAATTTTAAAAATATAAATATAAATAAATTCTAATTAGTGTACATATCTTGGCACTGTAGTACTTTCGCAATTTAAATATAAGAGTTAGATTCAAGTATTTCAATAAGTTTTATGGACAATAACTTCATGTGATTTTCTCCTCAAAATCAATCTTCATTAAACTCAGTGAGTTTAATTATGCCTTGCATGTCTTCACAAGTAAACCATATCAAACTATCTTCATAACTGAGTGGCTTTTAGTAGTAACGGGGGACTTTAAATCTAATTTCTTGGAGAGAAAATTCAACTCATACATTTAGAAAGCAATAGCACTTAAGAGTATAAAATAGCAATGGACATTTACCTCTAAAGCATCATTAGATCCATTACTCGTGTTTCCACATAAAAAAATAAATTTAAAGGATCCAGCAGAATCCTTCCCCTTGGCATACTTAGCAAGAAGGGGTCCAATAGTATGCATTGCAACAGCATAATCCCAAGATAGTTCATTGTAGAAAAAGGAACTTCCAAGAACCACAACCAGCACATCATCTACATCATAATCATTTTTCTTCCGCAAATCATTTCTGGAGTGGGTTTTAAGGTAGCTTTCAGCAGCCCACACATCTTTTGGTGATCCAGGAATCACAAAGAAGTTTCCACCGTCAAGGGCACTATATAATAACTGTACACAATGATATAAATTGAGGATAGCAAAGCAAAATCTTATCCAAACAAAATGTACTTCATAAATAAATAAAATTGAGAAAGCTAGAGAATTTTAGGAGTTTGATATAAACCATAAGTCAAATTAATTACCGGCAAGGAAAAATCATGGAAGACAACAACATCAGCTCTGCCAAGTACATGTCTCCAATGGGAAATAAGATGGTCCCAACCCATTTTGTCGTAATGTAGAAGGCGCTTTGCAAGCTTGTCCTCTTGAATAATCCATATAAGTGGCACAGAACAAAATGGCTCCTGCATGAGGCTGCACAAATATAACTCACTGACCAGAACATCTGTATCTAATGGACAATATAAAGGTTGAACAATCAACTGACACTAATCCACACAAACTAAAAAATTATACCATACCTCAGTAGCACCAAGTTCAATTAAAGAAAAACTAAATGCAGTGTAAAATAATTATATATCTTCAATATAAAACAATTAAGAGAAAGGTAGAAGGTACCTTGATATTATTTCTTTTGCCTCGAGAGAGTCTGCAATGACACCTTCAAAACTGTATCAATAAAAGAGCAAATTATACGGAGTATCAAATTAACTACTGCAGACAGCCAACTGATTGATGTAAGTGATTAATAGTGCAAATACTTCTCTTACTACAATCATCCAATAAAGTGCAATAGATTAATGAGCAAACATACAGGGACCAATCAAAATGGTCATATCTTTCAAGATTTAGAATTGTCATTTGACCTCCTATTTCTTCCCACATTGTTCGTGCTTCACCATCCTTCAGAGCATATAACTGCCAATAAACAACACAATTGCGCATGAGGGTCCTAGTCTAAATTGATAACAATTTATCAACAAGAAAACAGTCTCTAATGCAGAGTTCAAATAGGTTTCATTAGAGGAGCAATAAAACCTGAAAAGATGAATATGAAGAAGAGCCACCATAGCTTTATTATGATGAAAATAGCTTCTCAATCTTCTTTCCCCACAGCACTGCCCCCCCCCCCCTCCCACCCCAGCCCTCTTTTTTTCCCCAGGCTCCTATACTGACTAAATGGAAGGATGGAAAACTAGAGACAAGTTTTATTTTAGTGAAACTAAACATATTGCTAATTTTCATAATAACAGAACTCAGTACAAGACAAGACAATGAAAATTGTTTTTCAATTAATTATAAACAAATGACCTATTTTAGAAATAAACAGTCACACCCATAATACAGAAGGAAAAACAATGATGCATAATTCAAAAGAATACCTTCAGTGTGTAGCCAATGTGTCGTAAATTCTTCATCACAGTGAATAGCATTAATGACTCAGAATTTTTCTTCAAGTTGCCTAAAATCTGACACAATATGAAATACTTTAAAAAAAAAACATATAAATATATAAATAATCTCAGGGGGGGAAGAGGAGTAGAAAGGAGGGAGTACTGTCATATGTTGTAATATCTTTTATAAAACTTTTACCACATCGAACATAAGGGTTATTACAGGTTAAAAGAATGTTACAGAAGCTTACAACATAGAGCTATAATAACCCGTCTTTTGCTTTGTGTAGTTGGCTTACATGTCTCTTTACATTGTTTTATCTTACAGAAGGAGAGAATAGTAGACAGTAGTGATAGAATTCATTTGCTATTTAAGTTAAATATCAACTATAAGCACCTACCAGCTAAAATAGACCAAAAGCTGTTTGCCTAGACCATTAAATTCACATTAGAGGTTTTAAACCCTTTTCTTTTTTGATATAAAGCAAAAAATTTCAGCATAGTTTTTCAGCATAAGGGATCTAAGCATCTAACAATAAATAGAATTTCATACATATTGGACTGAGTTTGTAGTCAAATTGAGCAATGTTTGTCTAATCATTCCCACTGTTTATATCTCCTACACAATATGTTACTCGGACTCTCATACTCATGACCAAGTGTCAGACATGACTATTTTGTTAAAAAAATAATCCATATTTTTTATTGAGAAGATGTCAAGTTTCCATACCCATGCTAGAGTGTCAAGGATTTGACAAAAATACTTCAGATGAAATGAAGAGTCCGAGTAAACATAGCCTACACATCGAGAACGGCTTAGGAGAAATAGGAAGATTCAAACTGCAGCATCATAAATGTGTCATTGATGAACCCAATTAAGGTTTTCCAACCAATAGAGAACTATTGGCTGATTAAATGAAATAAATTGTCATAGACTCACAGCCAATAATTTGACAAGTTAGCAATTACAGGCTATTTGTATACTTGCAGACTCTAATAATTGTATTTTTGGTTACTGTATTCTCAAAGTACGAAGGGGCTGTTTGTTTAAGGGTATTCAACAAAGGGAAAGGCAATCAACTGCCATAATTTCCTTTGTTATTGTTTGTTAGACCAACTCAATGATTCCCTTTACCCCTTTTATTCCCCTACTTTCTTTTACCATGATTCCCACAACCCCCCCCCCCAAACAAAGGAATCATCCTAACCCCCAAACTCTTCTTGAACCAACCAAATTAACAACCAATTCGACCATCTAAGAAACACCACACCACCACCACCTATTGCTGGAATCATTCTAACAGTCCTGAAACTTCCTTAAACACCGCCGGCATTGCCAAACCAACCACCAGAATCACCTGACCAACCGCCAATATCGCCGGACCAACCACCGAAATCGCTCCATCATTTGCAAAACCACCCCAATTCACCCACCATAATTAACCCACCACCCTCGAAAACCTTCAATCCACCACGAAAGCACCTCCAAAATCACCAAATACCACCAAAAATCTACCTTACCCACTGAACCACCCTCCCGTATCAAAATCGTACCCAACCCACCATAAAAGTACAAAACAACCCTTCCACCCATGAAATTAAAAAGCGGTCGTTCCGTTCTATAACGGCCGCTTTGTTACGGGTTTGGGATTTACCGTTCCGCAAAAGGCCGTTATATAACGGCGCATTGAAAATCACACCAAACTCACCGCGACAGTCGTTACGTAACGGTAGAACAGCATTATATAACTGTTCTATAATTGTAGCGGCCGTTTAATGTAGAAAATCGATCCATATTCAGCCCAATTTCCAGATCTAAGGTTCGAAAATAAAACCCTATATCTATTGATTAACAACTAAACTAGCCATAAAAGGAAGAAAGATATTGGGGCTTTAAGTCGTGGGAATGAGGCGAGGTGAAAGCAGTTTGCACTCCAGGACGATGACTATTCGCAGGTCCTATTTTCTCCCTGATCTCTGATGCAGCTGGCTTCCTTGCTTGTTTTCTCTTTTCTACCTTTTTACTTAATTCTAATCACTTGGCCTCATCTCAATTCTTTCTTTCTTTTTCTTTTATTTTTAAGTTATATTTGTGGTTTGAAGGGTTAGTTTTTTCTTTCTGTTTGGACTTTAGAGTACCATACACTATACTATGCTCACTGTAGCTCTTATTTTATTCGAGTGTAACAAAAAATAAAGCTCATATAATGTTTAAATAATTTATAAATGTCATATCTCATATATTGGGGTCTTTATTTAAAGTAGTTTTAGCAATAATATTGTATAAATAAATAAAAATGAATTTTAAAGCTCAAAAAATGACTTATGTGAAGTTTTTGAAAAAAAATACGTTGCGAAATCCGCGATCCGTTCTAATTTGACCGTTACAAGCTGCTTCCGCGACAACGCGTCTGTTTCTAGAACACGACCGCGATTTTTTTCCATGCTTCCATCACCACCCAACCCTCCCAAATTCACCCAAACTACCTAAAAAACCCTAACCTGGCCAAAATCCGCTCTAATAACAACAAAACAATTCTAACCATATGAAATGTGCTCCACTTACTCTAAAACTAGCCCCAAACATCAAGAAAAAACCACAAAAAAAAAAAAAAAAAAAAAAAAAGAAGATCTAAGAGAAACAAGAGAGACAAAGCATGTGTTGGCAGCGATAGAAGGGAGGGTTGTTGGCCATCAATAAAGGGGGAAGGGTGTCGATGGTAGTGAGTGGCGGCAACACTCAAGGTAGGGGAATGACAATGGTGGTGGTGATGGTCAATAGTGGTGGATTGTTGGTTGTTGATGGATGGGTAGTCCAGATACCCTTTCCTTATTTCAAAAAACAAACACCTTAAGATAAATGAGAGTTGCTTTCCTTTCCCCTACTTTCCCTTTTTTAATGTGTTTCCCTTTCCCCTTGACAAACCAAACGCCCTTAACAACTTTGAAGTTAGGAGTCCTTGTCAAAGTAATATAAACAAGGAAAATTTGTCAAAAACAACCTTTTAAAGTGTCCACTTTATTTAAAACAACCTTTTAAATTTTTTTTTGCAATTTAAGACCACATTATAAATTTTTTTTATCAAAGACAATCAAATGTTACTTTCCGGTGTTGACTCAATTTTTGCCGATGTTGACCACGAGTGTGCGAGTCACGTGACCTCCTACATTGCTTAATACACCCCTTTTTCCTACAATGCACCGGTGAGCCATAATAAGAAAGAAAGTGAATTACAGCTATGCAAAGCTAGCTACACCTATAAGCACTAGCTCAGGTAAAGATATTAAAGACTTAAACCATAATAAGAAAGGAAGAGAATTACAGCAATTGGAGCCCATACAATAGCCTGGCCTTAAGCTGGAAAATTAATAGACCGACTACGAGTTCCACCTTCAACTAAAGTCAGAAATCAGAAAGGAAGTGAAATACAATGATTGAAGCCCATACAAGTTGACACTTGACAGAGCAATATAGTATAGTTCTAGAAGGCACTATGATACTCCAGATAATTAGACACTCAAAGCTAAAGAGCTTAAGTTTGTCCACTGAAACATTCAATTTGTTAATCAAACATTGAGTTGTAATTCTCACAAAATCGTAATGCTTTCTCCACAATTCCACAATTCATGCAATTAAAGTGATAATCTCTCACGCAAACTTCTCTCTTTTTCCTAAAAAATCAAATTGCAACACTACATAATTTATCTCCCCATATACCCTTTCGATCTCTCATTACAATCTAAATAATCAAATCCCAATCAATCACCAAGAACATCAATAGTACAAAACATTAACTTTGTTCTTTGTCCAAATTCTCTCATCTATTTGGCAAGAATCTCATCTCTTTTAATTCATTTCTTCTTATCATTTTTAAACAATACTGGACGGATCAGCTGACAATGCCAATGCATGACTATGAAATTGAAGTTCGCACTCCAAAATAAAAACATCAATCAAAAAAAAAAACCGTGACACTTTGAATTAAACTGGGTTAGCAATACGAAGCCTAACGATAAGGATTAGATATATGTTTTGTAAACCCATACTTGATACTCCTTCTGTCTCTAAATGTTGCTCCGATGACGAATGTAACAACTTTTAGTGACGGAGGGAGTAATAACTTGCAATTTCGTCACAAAATCATGTATCCGATCATTATTATAAATGTTTAGTTAATACTTATTAGCTCGCTAAAGAGTACTCTATCAATCAATTTATTAAGAATGATGAAATATTATTCTACAATTATATTATTTTATCACAACTTAAAAATAATATGTTACAAAATTAGAAGAACAACTTACAAGAGCAAGCTTAGGAGGTCTAACGCCACTCCTAGGCAACTTCCTAAGCAGATCAAGGCGACCTTCGTCACGAAACCTCGCCGAAGCGACGAACCTCAAACCAGTCCCAAGCCTCAACCCGCGCGTCGACGCATCACCGCCATCACCGCCTTGCCTAAACACAGAAGTTATAGAACTCTGCAACACCATTGAAGCGAACGCAAATCCAAACACAGCAAGCAAAATCACACCATAAATCAACGAATTTCCTTTCAATTGAAACGATTTCCGACGCGAACGAAACCGGTGACCGGCGCTTGAGAATTGACGATCAGATAATTTAGAAGCGTCGGAATTATGCGGAAGAGGATGAGCACGTTTGAAGAGAGATCGATCGTGATTGGAACGAAACCCTAGATCGCCATTGTCGTCCGAAGCGAGTTCTGCCGAACTCAGTGAGTTGCGGCCCATCACTCGACGAGTGAGAGAAGAAAGAAAATCGTGAGTGAGTTTCGAGTGAGTGTGAGTGGAGTGATGAAATTAGGAAATGTGATTGGAGTAACTAACTATCATAAGTCAGGATCAAAAGCATCTAATTTTAATTGGTTTTATTTAATTGGATTTTAATTGATTTTTTTAATTAGTAGTTTGAGTTTATTTTAATTTTTTGGCTATTAAAAAAAGGGAAAAGTGGGAGGTTTGGTGTATGATTACGTAATTTTGGGGTATAATGGAGGAATTGAGTTAAGAGACAAATTTTGCATGTGATCATGATGGGTGTTTTTAATTAGGGTAGCTTAATGCGGCGGACTGTGCTCCGAACATCATTGTCGATGTCGTCGTCATATGATGATCTTTAAGGTTATGGTAGAGGAGATTACGCGTTTATATTATATCGGTAAAGAGTATATATATGACGGTTAAGTTAATACGTATTTAGAGTTATCTTTAATAAATCAATAATTAAGTTGATTTGTAATTTTTGCTTGCTTCATCATATTTTTTTCACATAGTAAGAGCGAGCAAAGTTATCACTCTCCAAGAGCAAAGTCATCACATAGTAAAAATTTAGGGCATGTGTACAATAGGCTCTACCGTTCAATTCCTCCTTCATCCATTTGTACTCTGTAATGTCTTTATGGCTCATGCATATCAAAAAAAAAAAGGAAAAATTGGTCACCAAATGTTTAATTACGACAGAGTATCTATTCCAATTGGTTGCCCTTAAACCTGGCAAAAGTTGACACGACAACACGACATGAACCAGACACGATAAAACCCGGTTAGTGTCTAGGGATTACGACACGTTTAATTAAACAAGTCGACATGACACGTTCAATTAGTCAGATTGGTTTAGTGTTGGAAATTCTAAACATGAAATCAACACAATTTAACCCACCTAAGAAAGAAAACCAACAATTTATGAAAATGAGCCTAACGTTTTTTTTTTAATATATAACACTACAACATGACATGAACCGAACATGAAAAAAGTGGATTAGTGTCAAGGGTTTCAAACCCGTTTAACTAAATTGGTCAACACTACACATTTATTAAATGAGTCAAGCTAATGTTGAGGTTTCCCAACCTGTTAATGTAGGTACACCACATATACGAGCATGACATAACATGACACATTTGTCTGTTGTAGTTGCCCTTAGAAATTGATATTGGCACTCTTATTATTGATGTTGGCACAACTCCATGTGAGAGAAACATAGAAAATAGTGCATTCAACAATGGGTGTTCCAGAATCATTTTTCGTTGTCCTATAATTTGGAAAATGATTTTGACACGCCATTTTTTTTTTTAACAATAACATTGCAACATGTGTTATTACCCTATTTAACGATTTTTTAGTTAAGTACTGGTCAAATTCAATTTTATGAAAATTGTTAAGTGGTAGGCAAACTCAATTTTTTAAATTGGTACGTGGTGTTAATATAATTTTTTTTTTTGGGTAGTGTTAAAAACCATTTTCGAGTTTTTTTTTTTCTGTGTTGTTAAAAATAAAAATTTCTGTATATAATATTCTTCTTCTTCTTCTTCTTCTTCTTCTTCTTGTTATTATTATTATTATTATTATTATTTATTACTCCATGTATTTCCATATGTTTGTCCCATTTGAAATATCTACACAATTTACGATATAATATTGTAATAAAAATATATGTATACAAAAAATTCAAAAAAATGCATATTCGGAAGCTAAAGGCGAATCTAATATGATATCATAAAATAATGTTTTGAAGTATTAAAAATGTTAAAAATATATATATATTTCATTTTCATTAGAGTCGCTCAAGATATCAAATGGACAAATAAAAAATGGAATGAATATAATTTATGTCATCGGAGTAGTATACTAGTTTAATACTTCATTCATTTTTCAATTATTGATGCACCCTTGCAAAGTTATTAAAATCAAGATTATACTTTGAATCGGAAGGGGCTCTTAGAATCAAATCGTAAAATCGAATTGCAGAATCGCAAGATTCTACTGACATGCATAATCAAGACGTCATATCTAAATTTAATTAAATGTATTTAAATTATGAGTTTCAAACCTAATTAATAATAGAAAATAATTGTTTACCCATTAAGCAACGAATAATTGAAAATATATATTTATAAATAACTATGTAGGCATGATTTAAAATTGTAAGGATTTCGCTAGTTAAGAGAAATATGTAAAATTGGGTAGAATCGTAAATCAAATCGTATGACATACCTGAATCGTAAAATTGTTAGATTCTAAGATTTAAATCGGGATTTTAATAACAAATGCCTTGACTCCATAGAGAGTTTCACACAAACCAATAACAATAATGAGTGAGAGTGGAATAATTTCGCACATAAAATTATTCTTTAATGTGAATGGATACATCTATTGTTCTAAAAAAAATAAAAGATGCATCAATTGAGAAACCAATAAGTATTATTTAAGTATAAAAGAACAAGGTGTAAGGCCATGTTTAGTTTACCTTATTTCCGCTTATTTCAAATCAAATCAAAAATAACAACTACAATGTAAAAGGGATTCACAGTGAGCCCGTTCACATTCCACACATATATCACCCTAGAAATGTAACACCCCCAAATCTCCCTCTATGAAAATACCAGTATAATACATATAATTATATCGTAGAGATAGACTTAAGCGTATTACCGCTACATGATTACGCAAGGCTACTCAACTTACTAAAATAAAACCAACAACTTGCAGCGGAAAACTTCAATACTCTTTCTTTATTAATAATAAACCATAAATAGTAACTATTGTCATGAGTACTCAAAATAAAATATAAAGACCAACATTTCCTAATCTAGGTGAAACCATTCTCGGGACTCCATATGCTCAATCATTGACTTCACCTGAAATTAGTCAACACTGCTTACCATTACGGTACACAAGGCGAACCAAAACAAAATAAGAAATACGGATTAGCAAAATATGCTAAGTACGACAAGTCCAAGATAATTAAACTCAATTTATTAGCAAACCTGCTTTTAAAACCAATTCCAATAATAATCAAATAAATTCCAATTCATGATTCCAAATTCCATTCTCAAAATATTCAAAATAACTCAATTCTCAATAATAATGATTTATAAAATCAATTATTTCGAAAACTCAATAACAATTCAATTAACTCAATCTCCTCTCTAAGTGTGCACACCCCCCCCCCCAAGCTAGTCTCCTGCTATTTCAAGGCTATTCTTGGAGAAAGACTAGGTCATACAAAAATAATCTTCAATAAATCCACATAATGGGATTAATAAAATAAACATGCTTGTAAAGTGTAGACACCCAAACGTGTCTCCCTAAAACCAAACCCGGTGATGAATACCTTTCGCATTAAGTCATAATCGAATGAAGTGAAAGTGTGGAAAGTCTAATGTTGCGGTTAGTTTTTATTAATTTCTTTCTGTTTTCGAAAACCTGCTCTATTTTATGAAAATAGCAAATTCTAGTTTATTTTGTTCCATGACAAGGGTCCAATAATAGTGTAGTTGGATTGGGCTTGAAAAGAGCTTTTCAACGATATATTATAAGCCCAATTCCGATGAATAATGAGGAAGTTATGGCCCAAATACTAAATTGGGCCTAGTTTGGTTCTTACATATGGCCCAATGATTTAGAGGAGGGCCTATTATTAATTATCATTTCTAAAGCTATTAGGATTGATTATAGTCTTCTAGAATACTCTAGAAGGTTCTCTTAAATCCTAATGGAGTTAGGATTGATAATTATGTTTCAAAGAGTTTGAAATTGAATAAAACTACTCCTTTTGAGAATCCTTGTTTTGTACGAAATGGAATATATTCAGATTTTATTTTCGTGACTCATAATCGTTATCCAAATATTATATGGTTGGATAGATTGAAATTATCTTTCCAATGATATATTATAATATTAATTCTGAGTTATAACGAAAAAGATATGAATGGAATATGAAACTCTATCCAAAACTGACACCATTCCATTATATTGGCCATATCTTTTTATCTACAAAAGATTTTAATCTGATTCCAATTTGGTTGGAAAGTAGACTTCAAGAGCTTTCGAACGACATATTATATGACTTATTTGGACTCATAGATCAAAAGATATGATAAAAACAAAATCCGCAAAAACTGTCTTGCAGCGCCAAACAACAGAGCGACAAACCCTGTCGCCGGGCGACAGCCCCTGCCTTTGGCGACAGAGGTGTGTTTTATTCCTTTTTGAACTCTGATTCATTTTTATTGATTCCGGACTATTTTCTTATAAATAGAATCCCTGGACCTCTGTTTTTCAATAACCGGAATTTTCTAATTTTCCTCTCTCTCTAAGCTAAAGCTTGTTCTCTTTCCCTATTTCTAGCCTAGCCTTTTACAAACACAATTCCTCATACATTAGCACTAGACACACCTAGCCAATTTCGAAGTTGCCTTCACCCTAGATGTGAAAGGTTTGATATTTATGAGGGTTTGGTCTCAAGTCTCTATTTCAATTATTTAATTTAATTATATTATTTATTATTTTCCTTGAAGTTACTAACGTGTGTATTTTGTTATTAGAAAGAGATACGAGGCATCCAAGTAAGTGCTTTAATTGTTTAATTGAT